TAAACCCAAGGTCCCCCCCCCCCCCCCCCCCCCAGCCACAAACACACAATGTATCATCCGTATCAGTCCTGACAAATCTGCAGTACAATTAGTACCCACACAATGCAAGTCAACATGCAGATATCAGGCAGTCCCCTGGAATTAGGATTATTATTTGACAGACCAGAAACACAAAAGAATTTCCTGGCTCTAACCGTGCAGAATCCTAACATTCAAAACGGAGCAGCTGGTTTCACAGCGCACAGACCCAGCAGACAAATGCAGCAAAAACCCCACCATTTGTTAGTAAGCCCAGTCCACAGAAGCAGAAAGACACAATGTGGCAAGAGCCACATGTGGCTCAACAGCTGCACATAAAGGCACAGTGCAAGCAGGCACTGGATAAGCTTCCCTTGGCCCACAGCTCCACCAATGCACTTCCAATCCTCACCTGTCACACCCTGTTATTCCAATGCCTGGATCCCTCCTGAGCAGAGGTTGCGGCTAATCAGGCCAAATCCTAGAGTGTCAAGACCGTTTTAGGATTTGGTCAAGTATTCCACACGGATCAAATTACAGACTTGTGACCCAATCAGAAACCGAACTCAAGCCTCTTTCTAAAAACAGTCTGTAATTCCACTACGTCATCTACCACCTGAGCTTTGGCTTCCCCTAATCTCTCCTCCCAAGACAATAGTGCTGTGCCTGCAGGCTGCTGAAGGACCCAGAAACCTACTACATGGGGTATAATTTCCTGTCATGACCATTAAATGACTTAGTGCAAGGTAGCTGATCATGAAATGAGATAGTCTTCTGGCCGCTCCCATCAGTTTCCACTATGTTGTTCTTGGCGGCTGCTTTTTATTTTCCTCGTGGCAGATGGGTCACTGGCCAACTTGGGGAATTTACTACTTAAAGCCTTTTGCTTCAACCAGTACAGCAGTTCAGAGAACCAGGTTATCACCTACGTGTCATCTGTATCTATGGACTCCCCCCGGGCAGCCCCACCCTGGATGGACTCCATGGCGGTGGAGTAAAGTGCCTTCTGCCCAACAGGACGTTTCTCATCAGACGTGCTCTGGGCTCCCTCAGATTGCCGCTCCCGTTCTTGCTGGTCTATGTTATGCACACCGAGCAGCAGGCTGTAGTCCATGATTTTAAAACTTTCCAACACCTACAGGTTAGTGATGAGTTTAAGAACAAAGCAAACAAAAAGGTCAGTCAATCCGGTAGTTTCTTGCATACTACTTCAAATGCAACACAGAACCAAAAGCATGGAACCGTCATCCTTGGTTACAACGAACTGAAGTTAACAATCACTTTGCTGTGGCCAGAGGGAATCTCAGATTTAACTGTTAACTTTTGTTTCAACATTAACATTATTTCTGGCTTGGTTCTAAGTGATTTTAATCATTTCTGTCATTGCCATTCCACTTCTCTCAAGGGCTGGGGGGTTCACAAAGAACTGTTCCAATTATCTACAGCACATTGAACAGTAGAAGCCCATTCATCAATTCATCCCAGAGATCCAGCTGTAGGTGACCTAATTACAGGAAACCCTCGCTATTTGCGGGTTCGGCATTCACGGTTTCGAATATTCGCAAATCCTGAACCCGCATCTTAAATGCACTTAAAGGAGCTCCACACTTCCCGCTGCTGCCAGCGCAGCCGTGCCCCTCCCCCAGCCACTGGGGGCACTGCGTTCATGAATGCAGGTGGCATTCATGAACGCAGTGCCTTATTCGTGGATTTAGTCATTCACGGGGATCACAAGAATGTATCCCCCGCGAATGGTGAGGGTCTCCTGTACCTGAAAAAGGGAACCAATACAATTAAGTTGTAGGAACTGCATACCAACATGCAAGTGCTATCTGTGTGTGTTGGGCAAGTGTTGCTTGGTTTCAAAGTTTCATAGGAAACTAGTGACTGTAAGGTAATCTTTGAAAACTAGTATTCTAACATGAAACAAGCACTCTGGTTTTAGATATGTTGAGCACTGGGGTGACTCATTCAGCTTTGGGGGTTGCACATTAGCACGGTTCTAAAATATTAGCTTTTCTGTGTGCATAGTTGCAACAGTCTGACATTCTCAATTTGCCTCTTCCTTACCAGACAGTCTCGCTGCAGTGTTTTCACCAGTGCACTGAAGGTGTCTGCATCCAGCATTAGCCCCTCAGGCATGTCCTGTATGAAGTCCAGGTCTTTGTATGTGGGGCTGGACTTCTCTTTCTCCTTCTTGGATGCCCGGCGTTTGTAGGTAGAACCTTTCAGGTCAAATTTTAGGTGCATTTTCACTACTCGGGGCAGGATGTTGTTCATCACTGCTACCCGAATGTTCTTCCCCCCTGACTGAACACAGTACAGTCCATAGAACTTTGGCAGCAGGGTCCGTGGATTCTGGTTCAGGTTCTGTGATGTGATAAGGAAGAGTCAGAAAGATACATTTTGGAAGAAGCCTTCTCTTTTGTTCAAAGGCCCAAGTTAATATTGATTTTAGGAGGGATCAGCAGAATAGCATTTGCACATCTAGAATGTATTTACCTTGAAAGCCCTGCAGAATAAAGAGTTCCCATAATCTAAATTCAACAAACTTCTCAGCATCTCAGTGGCTTCATGTAGATCCCTTATATTATAAACTGGAAAGATTTCCATGACTTGACTATAGAAAATAAGTTTTTGCACACGTGTCTGAGCAAATAGCCAACTGCAGGAATTCCCAGACTTCCCAAAACAGCAGGTAAGAAAAGGGAACCCTGAAGCCCCCAAAAGTGCTACTCAGCAGAAACTCTATTTTTAAAATAGCAAACATCCTCAATCCAATGACAAATTTTAAAACAAAAAGATACTCCCTGAACCAAATAAACTCCATAACATTTAATCAAACAGACCTACAAATGAAAGCAGCCCCAGCAGGAAATACAAGCAGTTCATCTTCAACAGAAAAACTGAATTTATAAAACCCGCAATCTACCAATCAGATTGCTAGCCCTAACTCTGCTAACATGCCTTATTTTTGGTGATCAGGCTATTAAAAATGATATGATAAACTTTATTTGCTTATTAAGTTCTGAGAAGCATTTTTAAAGGGAAATAAAGTTACACAAGCTATAAGGAAACCGATGAACCTGCCAGTTTCCATACAAAGCAGGAACATTACAACTGTATTAAAATTTAATACTCCTCATCTCATCTTGCCTAACTAGACACAGGAGTGAGTTTTGTGAGTGTGTAATTTGACACTGTGCAACTTAGTGGCACTATCATGCCAGAAGCTGAAAGCAGAACTTCACTCTCCAGACTTAAAGCAACTCAGCATCAACTGCTGTGCTCTCTCAGGTCATTTTTACACTACAGCTGATTTTGATAGCAGCCAGAAGATCATGTGTGTATTAGCACAGTGTAATTATCTATGAAATGTGCAGAAACAATAGCATAAAGGCTTTATAATGGGGCACTAAGTCAGTTTCATCCCCTATAATTATATTTATTATCCATCAATTTATAGTACTTGGAACAAGAAAGATCTAGTCACTGCTTTCACTCAACTTGTCTGCAGCAAATGAGGCTGTGGTTTCAGGATTATAACACTACAGTGAGAGCCTAAAAGTCCCTAAGACACTACTGAAGCTTTCGCTTGGTATGGATTTGAATGAATCTGGGGTCCCAAGGAAAACAACATGATCACTTATTTATACTCTATTGTAAGATATACGTAGAGCAGGGCAGTAGGATTTCCCTTTGTAGCCTTTGTGTTCTTATAATGCCTTTTCCATAGGAAGCTGAACTTTAAGATGCAGCTGTGTAGGAACAGATGTCTCTTGCTACTAATGTCACCCATATTTCCATTTTCACTGGTTTCAGTCCCTATTCACTAGCTGTCTCCTCTTGATAAGTCCCTTTTAATACACGCATCCTGCCGAGTCCCATTAACCCACGACATTACTGAGCCTTAGAGTAATGCAGGTTAAGAAAAAAGTGCAAAGCTACAGCTCGTGGATGTTACTGTTAAAAGTCTTTAATAGACAAATTGGTATCGTGGCCTGTAAGTGACTGGAAACCACTGCAAAGGAATATGCAGCTCATTGCTGAGTAAATCTCTACTAAGCAGCCTACGCATTCAAGGAAACTCAGGATAGTGGAGTGAAAATTAACATGGCTGGGTGTAGCAAAACCAGGGTAGCACCTCCCCCTTGATGCTGCTACAGAATCATAGAAGAACAAAGAGCATCCAAAGAGGAGACAAGTGAGGAGGATAAAGATGCAGAATCAATATACCCACAAAAAGAGGATTACTGTTGTGGGGAAAAAAAAAAAAATGGTTGGATTGTGACATAGAAGTGGAAGCAAATTACATCCTTTCTGATCCCCTTACACAAGGCATGTTTACCTACTGCCCTGCGATGCCCTGCATAAAGCAGGGGGAAATCTAAAAGCATTTGTCAGCACATGGCTGCAGTAGGCCAGGAAAGTGCTGTCTCTGGGTTTAACATGTATACTTTTGTTCAGGTGTCATGGGGCAGGCAGGCAAAGGGAAAGCCTTCTGGGTTACCAAGTGCTCCACATGATGCACAGTACTCCAGTCTGCGGTATTTGTCCTGCAAACCAAAACAAGCTCTGCACAAAAAGATACGCACCATGTAGTAACCAGGAAGAAGCTTCTGCAAGAATTCCGCTTCCTTGTGCATCACAGTTTTTATGATGAACTCATCATCGCTTGTGACATAGAAGAGCGAGCCACTGGCACCAGGGTTTGATAGCTCAATCAGAGGCTCGTTACATAATGAATACTAGGAAAAAAATAAAAAAAAAATAAATGGGATTCATTTACCATGCAATAAGCTGGACCAGAGTATTCTCTCCAAGGTACTCCTACACCTCTACCTGGACTTCTAGAAGGCATGGAAATTATGCAACTTAAGACTTAGTTCTCATTGCAGGTTAGGATTCAGAAGCCTAGGCAGGAGACAACTTACAAATGGATGTACACATTATATTCCAGAATGCCCCAACTGTTTCAAGTCAAGCGAGTCTTCCTGCTCTCAATAAGATATTATGCTGCCTGAATGTTATCTTCTAGTTTGTGCAGCACAAGACCAACACGTTTGGTTTTCTTTCCTTCAGTGCATTACCATAAGCACAGGCAGAGATCAGATTCTAAGAGACAAGACAGCTTGCTCAGGGAGCACGTGTCACGATGCTAGGAGGGGAACAAAATGCACCGGCTGTTCTTGATGGTGATCTCTAGTCTTGGTAATACATGTGCTGACATTAGAGATAACGTGGTTTAGTCACACACCTCACACCTTCAGTGCAGCAGATAGAATTCATGTCCAAATAGGCAGAGCCTACCTGCAGAGGCTAGAAGCAGTTAAATGTAACTGTGTGTTCATGCATTTAGACCCCAATCCAGGCAAGCATATGTGGAACTATGAATCTGAACAACAGATTCCCATATGAGAATATGCTTGATGAGCAGAGAGAAGGCAGCACGGAAAGCAAGGGGGGAGCACAGTGGAGCTACAAGAATCCCACCCCATCTGCAGGTGTCAAACGGGGTTAGGGCAGCATTATGTATATCTGCCATATGAAAGTAAGGGAGGGAACTGCAGATGCGGAACACATATAGGACATAATCAAAGCAATAAATTGAGCACTCATTATTACATATTGAAAACAGCTTTCAGCGCTGCGTGGATTAATAATCCAAGACTTTAATTATGCATGAGACAATTAAGTTGATAAAGATGTTTGCTGCTATGGTAAGCAAGAGAAAGAGGGGACACAGTGACAGCAAATCAGATCTGTGACCTTTGGAATTTAGGCAGACTCTCTTCCCACTCAAATTTTCAACCTCCATCATCAAATCAGCAAGCAGTATCCCCATCTGTGCCATCTGGGATAGCTGTTATTGTCAAGCTGCCCCATGGCAGAGGCTCATTTTTGTTCGAGCATTTTCAGCCCCGATAGCCCAACTCCATGGCTGGAGTCAGAAAACTAGATCCACATATAAGAAAGTATCACGTCTCTGGGATCTGCTCCCTGTCCTCTTACAACAAACTTAGCCTTACTGAGAGGAAAACGTAACCCTAGAGTATTGCCAATTCTGTCAGCTCTCGCTACTGGACAAGCTGGGATTTTTCTGAATTCTATCTTGTCCTGGAGTCATATCAACAGCATCAGGAAAGCAAGCTCGATTCTAGCCTGGCTCTCGCAATCTGCACTCTCAGCATAACGATGTTATTACCTGAGAGAATGCACAAGGTAAAACACCTATCTTCACTCAGAGATCCCAGGGGTCTTTATTGAGCCATCCTGCAGAATTCATTCTTTTTGCTTTTAAACGGGGCAAGCTTTGTGTTATCACCAAATAAAAACATATGGAATTGCATTTTAAGCAAACGCAGTTTAGAGCCTGACAGCAGATTATCCCCTTTATCCCACGCATAGGCTACCAACTTCCTTTTAGAAGAAGGTTTAGCTGAGTAGCTTTGCTTTCATAAACAAGAAGTTAGTGGGGTCTCTTCGGGACATCCTGAGAGGATGTCCCAACAGACCTCATTTACTGAAATGGCCACAGCAGAGGACAGGGATCACATTTGATCCATTCTCTTTTAGCTGGTCTCAGACTTGACAGAAGAAACAAAACGCCACAGCTTCTTTTTAATTTGGCATCCGCCTGGTGTGCTAGACTAGGGTTTGTGGCAACCTATTGCCCATGGGCCACATCTGGCCTGTGTAGCTTTTGGATCTGCCACAGCTGTGGCTTCAGTAGCAGAGGGCTCTGCTGCAGTCAGGTGCCTGGGACTTTGGCAAAGTGGGGAGCTCTCCCTGCACCATGCCATAGTCGGACACTTGAAGCTTTGGCGGAAGGGGAGCTCTCTGCAGGTGGGTGGCACAGCTCCAACAGGATGGGGGGTGCCATCTGTTGCATTGGAGCCACATGGCAGAGAATAAAAGGCAAAGGCAGCCAGGTCCTACTACTTCAATACCTTGGATCTGAACTGGGTAATTCCAGTATCCCCACTGGAAAAAACACTTCTAACCCTTGTACTAGACCATAGATTCTATCTATCCCAAGGACTCAACCACATAGATACTCTCCACCACACACACACAGCCACAAGAAGGGCGCAAAGAAGAGAGAGCTAATATTTTTTTCCACAATCTGCCTATGACTTACCATGTGATACTGCCAAACTCAACACTGCCTCATTTTCCCCACTGACAAGTACAGTAGTTATTCATTTTATCCAATGCTTTGAGAACTTCATAAGGAAGGCTCTATATATTTTTTCAGTATACTAGCTGAAGACTGTACTTCACAAATATGCGATGAAATCCCTGCGGCTGGTCACAGATGCCAGTATATGACATTTGTCAAGCTAAATTTTGCTGATGCTTTTGGCAAAGCAGGATCTCCTCAGGACAAGTCATATATACAGCATTAATTGCAGAGAAATAGAAAACCCATACGTACCAAATAATCATCTGGACGAATGCCAAATAGCTCTCGGAAGTACCGAAAAGCCACAGGTGCATAGGTTTTGAACCTGAAGTCAGGGTAATGATGAGCTGGAGTAAGGTTACTTCCTTCGCTGCATGGAAAAGATATTTTGTGAGCAGTATGCTGTATTGTATTAGTGCCCATACTAGCAGGCAATCCTAGCGGGGGGGCGAGAGGCCTACGGGTGATCGGGGTGCAGGGGGTGCCCTGGTGCTCCCACCTGCCCCCCCTGCCCATTGACCAAGCGGCAAGCGCAGCTGGTCAGGGGGTGCACCAGCACTCTCAGGGGGTGCACATGCACCTCCATCCACCCCCTACACATTGCCATTGCCCGTACTGCAATCTATGTGCACAATCCCACTGGGTGAATTTATTTTTTAAGAAAATAATGATGGTTTCATATTCCAGGTAAGCTAAGCTTCATAAAAAAGCCATCATAAGAAGTCACCAGCCTAGGAACTAAAGGCTTGCCTCACCTGGGTAGGATAATAATGAAGAGCTCTATAATCATTGGGCCAGGAAACCCTCTTTTCAAAAAAGAGACTGAAAGAATGCAAAGCTGGATAAATATGAAATAGTTTCTGCAAGCTCTGCCTAGTCACAGGTCCAATCATGCAACCGCTGAAGATGTCAAGGGAATATGATCAGGAAGAAGTGTACCAGGAATGAATCTCTTTCAGTGTCAAATGTATTCTGTCTAAGGACAAATTACGTATTATCTGATAGAAAGGAAAACAAAACTGATAAAAATCTTCACAGCTAGTAAGTCCAGTATGTCCCATCTCCTAACCACAGCGTTGCTGGTTTACTACTTCCCAATAATGTGTTGATAAGAAATAGTAGCATATTTTCAATACTCAAAGTGTTCATCTTCCTTTAGAACAGCATAAAGAAGGGAATAACTCATCCCTGACTTTTGTTTCTCTCCTGCATGCCTTACCTGGGGAAGAAAATACTCTCCACCACATAAAAATCTTGCATCAGAACATCTCTTTCAGGCTTGGAGCTCAGGTTCCCCACTGTGTATCCAATCCCTAGCTGGATGGCCCCTTTCAGAGTGGATGAAGTAGTCTGGAAGAAAGAAAGGAGCAGTCAATGCACATTTCACTGTAGGTTATAGCAACAGGACTTCTACATAGGTAACCTTCCAACTGCATAATCATGCCTATGCCTCTGATACTGCTAAACAGATTTAATAGACTTCTACAGAGACTGCCTCAGTCTTCCGCACAGTCTGACGACTGTACAATGCACATGAACTACAAGGACAATATAACCCACTGGGAGCAAAATCTCATCTTTCTAGTTTGCCAAGAGCAGACCCAAAATCTCCATGTCTCGTAGTTTGTACGAGCTATTCTTAGGCCTCTGGTCCCCAACACCATTCCCAACAAATTACTTTTCCGTAGATAATACTTTCTGAAAGTCAAGAAACTGAACCTTTTTGTAGGTGGTTTCGCCAGAAGCATCAACTCCACGATGACCTATCTTCTTCCCTTGGCCAGCCCCAAGCTGTCCTGATAATGATGGGCCCTAGGAAAGAGTAGGTTTTATGGTTAAACCAGTGAAGAAAAACCACACTAGCTGAAGGGAAGGTGTATACTGGCACAGGCAAGACCAGGTTGTCAGGTTATAACTGATGTAGTGATGTCTCCATCACTGTGTAAAGAGTCTACAAAGCACACAGATGTAATTGGCATCAGCAAGGCTAACTCATACCATCTGTTAATTATACATCCCTCAATCCAGGAAGTACAATACAAATACCCACTTGTGTGTGCATCGCCCACAGTAGGATTGTGCTGTGCAGGTGAAGACAGTCGACTCAGGAGAGCTAGCTTTGTTTCCCAGCTATTAGACTCGCCTATGTTATTTCAGTGTCTCAGTTTCCCCATTTGTAAAGTTAACAGAACTTTACTTCCCTGCCTCATGGGGATGACGGCATCAAATTTCATTAATCTGTGAGATGCTCAAGTGCCCTGGTCAAATACCAAGTCAGGTAGACACTCTATTCAAATAGGAAAGTCTCAGGCCACCATGGTTTTACAGCATTAAGCCCATGCTCTATACTCCAACTGAGAAATAAAAAGCAGCCAATGCAAATGAAGCACCACTGCTGTTCATGTAGAGATAATCCATTTAAGCAAGCTGCTGTTTACAAATGATTCAGGGCCCAAGCCCACACAAGATGAACTGCCATAGCAGTTTCCTCCAGAAATTTATAGCAAAGGTCTGGAAAAAGCGGTCCAAGTGCCAGTGCTCAAGGTGAAAAGCAATAATCTCCCCTGTTCTTTGCCCCAGCTATTCTACCACAACTAATTTAGATTGTCCAGTCTTTTCAAAGTCAGACATAGTTCATTAATTGTATATCAAGCTACTTGTACACTGTCAAGTTTTAGGAAGTGTCCTTTATAGCCCTATGTCTACAAACAGCTCTGGAGCATTTCTTCCTGCCCACAACCCAAACAGATTGAGAAGAACAAGCATTGAGCAACAGCACAGTGTACCACCACATATGTTTTCAGGGAGCAATACTGCTCAAGCATTCTTTTGTGTTAAACCTTTAATAAATCAAGAGGCCTGTTTTTAGACATTAATCTACACCCATCTGCAAAGACCCACTGCACTTTGCCAAGGATGAACACTACACTGTTGGCACCGGGCTATGCTGCAGCACTTGATAATCTATCAGAACCAATGCCTATAGGTGGGACCATGCAATTCTGTTAAAACTGCAGCAAAGCCTCACATTTCTGCTTCTATCAAGAGCTTGCAGATATTTCCATTCAACTTCAAAGCTGATAGAAATCATTCTGGACAGGACCCACTGGAGTGTCTATTTCCTTGTAAAGAGACCTACCTTGTTTTCAGACATCTCTACACTGCAACTTGAGTTACCTCCAAATGAGAGCAGTTAACACTACTTCGCCGTCCTAGTATGAGCCTCAGAACCCACTACTCATGCACCCAGCGTCAACAAGCACCAAACCTTTTATGTTGCTCAAAGTTGGACCAAACAAAATCTGCCTGCACAGTGTGCCCTAAAGCATCACGTATGAACTTAAGGGAAGAGCTTTTGGATAGGAATCCTCCTACTAAAAAATCCCTGCTGCCAACTGTAAAGAATTCAGCTCCAAAAGGCAACAGTGACTCCGTAAACTGTAATCTACATGATGTGAAAGAGGAGAGATCCCTGGGACGGATCCCTACTTACTTAGGACTTACAAATTGCAGTCAGCTGGAGCCGGTGCAAAGCAACAATGCAGAGGTGATGTGCACATGCAGTGGCCTAGTGCAGAGATTGTTCTATATCAAGCATACACTTGCCCTTTTTTTAAATTAATTGGTGCATCTCAGTCCAGTTCCAAACAGTCATGAATTATCATCATGAAATCTGCCAGGGCCAATCCAGTCCTCCTGTGTGCTGAAGAATAAACTCCAGTCACCTCTGTACCAGATGCGATTGCCTCAGGTCAAAAATGTTCCTCAAATACCTTACCACCACCTACCCACCCCATTGCTATGCTGGATAAAGATAGAGGACCTGATTCTCCTGCTTCACATTTGCACTAACCCCAAGATTTACTTTAAAAGCATGATTCCCCAAAATGGCACCTTCCTTCATTTTGAGTGTGCCACAGGAGAGCTACTTGTGTTGGCTCCTCTGTTTGCAGAATGTATAAAGGATTTGTGTCTGACTCACCTCAGTAACAGCTGTCTTCTTTGGTGCCAGACCTGAAAAGAGAAGGAAAATATCTCAGTAAAAGGATGTGTGCAGGTTCCTGGTCCGATGCTTTCATCACAATGGCTGATCATCATTCAAGCAGATAACCAAAAGCACCAAGTATTAATCTTTCTTTCCCTTTTTTTTTTTTTCCCCTTTCTTATCTAAGTCATTTGCGCAGGGGTCTGAAGTTACCGAACAAACTCAAACGGTTCCTGCTTTTAGAAGCTCAGTGGGCACTTTTTACCTCTTATGGTCAGTGATATTTTACTGTAGTGGGATTACAGTATTACCTTGCCCCCCAGTTTCTGCTGAAACACTGTCTGCTTAAAGACTACACAAGAAGTCAGTAACAGGGCAAGTCCCAGTCCAATGCCTTAACCACAAGATCACTTTCTCCCACTTATCTGCTTTCAAACTTTGCAACTTAGGACCTGTTTCTAGACAAGGATGAGAAAAGCCTCCTTAACTGCTCGGCATATAAAACATTAAGGAAACAGAACAGTTTTAGGCACTGTCCTAAGTTTCCATTTAAAAAAAAGAGTCTCAAATATCTAAATATCAACAGTTCAACTAACACTAGAGCTGAATTGTGGTTTCTATAAAGCTAGTTCTGGGTACATCCAAGTACTGAGAGCTGTTCGGAAAAATTGCCTTTTGGCAGTACATCTCAACCCCATCAGGCTATTCCAAGGGTCGTAAGTACTGACTCTGTTTTAAGCACCAATTTATTAAATGGGAAAAAAGTCACCTTTAAAATAGAATAGAAATAATGGATTTAATGTTGAGGCTCCCTAACTAGTACCACATGCCTCCAGTTACCCAGTTTGACATTCACTTGAAAAATGCTTCTAGAATTACAAGAATGATAGGATCAGGAGAATATTAAACAATCCTTAATCCCCATGAATGGAGGATTTCGTTTTGCAGGAGACCCGTAAGCAGACCGCTGAAGTTCATTCTGCAGAGAACGAAGGCATCATCAAGAAGCCACTTCTCCCCACTTGTTGCAGCCCCCACTCGTGGTCCAAATTTACAGATTTCCCTTGGTCAGAGGAGCTAGCTGGTGAAGTGACACAGGAAACAAGGAATGTTTTCCCACTCCAGTTTTTTTAGCATCCTTATAGGGCTGCCATAGAGCAATGCAGACCAGCGCAGCTAGGCACCACTTCAACACTTTTTCCATTTGGCCACGCATTATGGATATGCATAACAACAACAAAACCCAGTTAAGAGGGAAAACCATAACTAAGCCAAAAGTGCAACACCCCAACTGCTTAAACACACCACTTTAAAGAACTTAACAAGAAGCAACTGAGCAGCAGCATTGTAAGGTTTGGTTCCAAATAAGTGTGTCAAAAAATGTACGTTTAGAACGACAATGTAACCAAGTCACAGGTTTGCAACCAAATCACGTGATTCGATTGTATTTCAGGAAACCAATCTCAGAATAGGAAGGAAAAGTGCTTCCTGCTGGCTGAGGGGGTAGCTGCTTTTGACCAGAAGCAAGATGATCTCACTGGCCCTGCTTCCACTAGGGATTACTTTAACACAAAAACTTTTCCATGGCTGAGACTGTCCCCTCATATCAGACCACCAACTGCTTCCATAAGACCGGTGTGGCCAGCGTGGTGCAACAGCCAACCTGCCTCATGCTCCCAATTTGCATACATCAGTGAATTAAGCAAGTATTGGAGGAACAGCCAACTTCCTATTTAAATATGTCCCTCAGCTGAGTCCAACAGATAAATCACCAATAGGAATTACAAGCTGATCTCAGAATCTTTTCCATTGCACTATGTGAGTTAGCTGTGTGAGTTTGAAGTCGGGCAGAAGGCAGGGCAGAGTAGCACCTTATAGACTAACTAATTCGCCAAGGCATAAGCAAGTTTGCTTTGTCAGACACTACAAATGAATTCATAGCATCTGGCAAAGTGAGCTGTTGCTTACAAAAGCTTATGGCTCCATAAATGCTAGGTACTTAGTCTAACGTGCCATTCTGCCCTGCCTCCTACCTGATCATCCTAACATTATACTTCTTAACTGCACTGCTCATTCCCATTTTGAACATTCGCACTATTAATATTTTCTAGGAAGGAGACAAAGAAAAAAAAAGTTCTTTCACAGGCCTTCTAGGAAACACCATCATTTCCTGTGTGCTTGTGTTGCCCATTTATATCAGGGGCATCAAACTCCCCTTGGGTCGGTCTGCAGGCTGGACCATGATCAACCCCCTGTGCAGTGCTGGGTCTGGCCCACACACTGCATGCAGCATATGTTGACTCTGGGGCTTGCTGTACACAGCACATGGAGACAGCACAGGGCATGTATTGCCTGTGGGTTAGACCCAGCAATGCAGGAGAGTGTTGGTCCAAGGCACTGCAAGCAACCTGCGCCCCAGACCTGTGCATGCAGCACAGGGGCCTGGACTAGCCATGCATGCTGCATGTAGCACAGGAAGCCAGCATGGCATGCATGCTGCACGTGACACCCCACCAGACTGGCTTTGCACGCTGGCTTCAGCATGACCCAATCCAGGACACTCGGAGCCAGTGCACAGGGCTGGGCCATGGGGGCACTGCCTACAGCACATGCCTGGGACCAAATTCCTGTGCTACATGCAAGGCACGTGGCTGCCTGCCAGCCTAGCCCACACACCGCATGCAGCAAGCAGGGCTAGGGGCAGTGCATGGGGTCAGTCCAGCAACCCACAGGCTGAAACATACAGCTCCATATGCCACATCCAGACTATGGGCCATGTATTTGATGCCCCTAGTTTAGATAGTAAATTCTTTGGGACCCAAACAGGTTTTCAATATTGCCAGCCACCCAACCCAAACCACCCCTTTTGGTCTAACAGGACAGAATCTCCTCCCAGTTACACCAGCAGAGCTTTGTTACAATCAATGGGAGTATAGAAAATAACAGAGCTGCTGCAGCTGAGCCAAAGGCTAATTTACTGTGCCAAGTGTAAAAAGCTGGAGGCAAAGGCCATTTTCCCATTTGCCTTGTAATCCAGGGGAGTTGCACTAATCTCCTTCCTCCACACTGTCAGAATTCCAGAGAGAGATTATCTTTAATTTGGGGCTAGTTATCACAAGCTGCTTTAATTCCCAGCATTTAAGTGTCCAATGTTGTACATGTACCAAGTACAGCCTTCACCAACTGTCTGGGTCAGCAGACAGAGAGATGATCAAATCAGCCACTCGAGACAATTAGCTGCAAATCTTTGAAACAGGTTAAAATTCAGGTGAACAAGGAGCATCACTCTCAAAAATCAGCCTTATAAACACAGGCTCATGTGTGCAGAAACTGAAAATATTCCACTGGCTACTCAGTGTGAAGCATTAGGTTGTGCTTATCTCTTAAACAAGCTGACAGATGGCCTTCTGAAAACTAATTTAACTACAGCTTCAGGGGTAGTGCCGCCACAAGAGACATTTGGTTTTATGCACGAGTTGGAGCTCTGGTCTCAAACACTTCCCCACACTGCAGAACAAGGTAAATGAAACATTTTTTACCGTGCTTGATGCAGCTCAAGTTGTCCTATTGCTGTTTATTGCCCTATTTTATGCGCCTTCAGCCAGCTTTGAATGAAGCCTATTTTCAACTTCGCAAGTATGATTCCTGACCTACTTTAATTGTGTTGAGATGTTAGTATGAAAAGGAATAGCAATTAAGTTGGTCCTGTAAGGGGTCAAGTGGTAAGATTTTTTTAATACTGATCCTTGTACAATTGTGTGATTTAAGTCCCTCACATATTTAATGAAAATTAAAATATTGGTTCCAGGGTCAGACTGAGGAGTTCAGAGCATCATGGCAGCTTGTTGCAAAAGCATCCTAATAATGAGCATGTTAGAAGAGCAACGCAGAAGACGATGGTAGCAACCGTGGGATGGGTACTGGCCCAGGGCCAGGTGGCCCTGGAATAATCAGTATCCCACCCATCATCCTCAGCAATCCCAACATACCAGTAAGATTATTCATGCATTTCACAGTTTTGCTCCCTAACACAGTCTGAAATCACTGCTGTAAACAACTGGCACGTAAATAGGCTCGCAAGGTGGGCGGATCAAAACCTGATGGCATTCAACATGGAGAAATGCAAGGTGCTCCACCTTGGGAGAAAAAACCCACATCATACTTACAGGCTTGGCAGTGCTACCTTGCTATCACCATGACCGAAAGTGACTGGGGGGGGGGATCATGATTGATCACAAGATGAACATGAGCCACCAGTGCGATGCCGCAGCTGGCAAAGCAAACTGTGGCTTGCATCCACCACTGCATCTCAAGCAAGACCCAAGAAGTTATCCTCCTGCTTTACTCGGCCTTGGTGAGGCTGCAGCAGGAGTACTGCATCCAATTCTGGGCTCCACGCTTTAGAAAGGATGTGGAGAAGCGTGAGAGAGTCCAGAGGAGAGCCATGTGCGTGATCAGAGGTCAAGAGATCAGGCTTTATGAGGAGAGGCTGAGAGGCATGGGACTCTTCAGCCTGCAGAAGCAAAGGCTCAGGGGGGACTTGGTGGCAGCCTATAAGTACATAAGGGGTGTGCATCGGGAACCGGGAGAACGTCTGTTCACCAGGGCACCCTAAGGGAAGACAAGGTCTAACAGTCACAAACTGCTGGAAGACTGTTCTGCCCTGGACACAAGGAAAAACTAACTTCTTTACCATCTGAGTCTCCAGAGTCTGGAACAGACTTCCCTCAGAAGTGGTGCAAGCAGCTACTCTGGATACGTTCAAGAAACACCTGGATGCTCACCTTGTTGGGGTGATCTGACCCCAGCTGACTTCCTGCCCTTTGGGCAGGGGGCTAGACCTGATGATCTCGTGAGGTCCCTTCCAGCTTCATGTCTTTAAATCTATGAATAATCAGCAGCAGAACAGGTGCTTGTAGGAGGCAGGGAACAGAATTGGTAGTCCTGGCTGTATAAATCAGTGCTTGATCCAAAGTCAATGGGATCACTTGTAAAACAGCCACACAGTGATTTTAGCTAAAGAGGAGTG